AAAAAAAATATTCATTTAAATTGATTACAACTAAAGCATGATTAATGGATACTTTATAAACTCAAATGCAAGTATTGGGAAAGAAAATAGACTAAAAATTTTCTAAATATTCATATCAAGAAATTAGATTAAAAAATTAAATTTAAAGAAAATGAAAGAATTCAGATATAGTATTGTATAATAGAGATAACAGAGTAGAGATTAAAAACTAATGAACTACAACACAAACAATAGACAAGATAAAAATAAAGCTAAAATGTGGATGTTTGAAAAACTAACAAAATTTATAAACTCCTAGGTATTAAAAAAAAAAGAAAACACAAATTATCGTTATCAGAAATGATGGTATATCACTATAAATACAATAGCCAGGAATATACAAGAATATTATGAACATAAAGATTATTTGATGCTTTAGTTGAAATTGACAAATGTCTTATAAAACCTACCTACCAAAACTATGCAAAACCACCTGCCATGACTAACACAGGAAAAAATATATATATCTAACTAGTCTTATATCTAATAAAAAATCAAATAAAAAAATTAAAACTTTCTCTCAAAAAGAGAAAACAAAGCCTTGTAGGAGCAGACTAATTCTTCCAAACATTTAGAAAAGAAACAACATTAAACTACTTCCAAGTTCACTTCTCAACTCACAAGTATTTGTGTGAGGCTGTCTGTCCCAAGTTTGACGTGAAAATATGATAAGGACATTATAAAATATTTAAAAGTTACAGGTAATTCTATCTGGTAAACTTTGTGAATAAATCTGAAACAAAATATTAGAAAATCAAATTCAGCATTATACATGATAATATACCATCCATGGCCTAGTCACTGGATATCAGAATTACACAATTGATTTTACATTCAAACATCAATCAGTGATACACCTAAATGTGAAATCCTAAACTATAAAGTTTGAGGAGGTGAGCTGCAGGGAACTTACGAGAATTTCTTCACCACCTTGGGAGTAAACTAAGCTTTCTTAGATAGAACATAAAAGGACTAACCAGAGGGGAAAAATAAAATAAAATGAACTACCAAAGCACAGAAAGGGAGAAAATTTCCTCTCTCTCTCTCTCCTCTCTCTCTCTCTCTCTCTCTCTCTCTCTCCATATATATATATATATATATCTCACAAAAAACTCATACCTAGAATATATTAAACCTTCCCAAAAATCAATAATAAAATGCCAAAAAAAGAGAGTAAGACTTGGGCAAGTATTTCACAAAGAAAGATGGATGCATAGCTAGTGAGCATGTGAGAATATGTTCAACATTATTAATCATCAGATAAATGCAAATTAAAATCACAATAAGACACTACTCCATATCCACCAGAATCACTTTAATTAAAAAGACCAGCAATACCAGGTGTTGGAAGGAATGTGAAGCAACTGGAACTCTTAAACGTTTTTGGTGGAAATGGAAAATGGAAATGTAAAATGGTTCAACCACCTTGGAAAACTATTTGGTGTTTTTTTTAACAAAGTTAATCATACACCTACTTTATGTCTCATGGTATATACAAAAATGTTTATAGCAGCCCCATTCATCATAGTTAAACTGGTAAGGAATTCAAATTTCTATCAACAACAGAATGGCTAAAAAATATGTAATTATTCAAATAATAGAATACTTTTCAGCAATATAAAAGAACAACATACTGACACATAGAGCAGCATGAATGAATTTCAAGTTATTATATTGAGTCAAACAATTTCAGATAGAAAATAAACATGCAAGTTTAACATATGATGTTAGAAATCAGAAGGATGGTTGACTCTCAGTGGGGTGGGAAAGTTGATTGGGAAGGGACACAAGAGAACCTACTGGGATGATAAAAATGTGATATACCTTGATGTGAAAAGAAAAAAAGATAAAATACACTTTTTTTCTTTTTTGAGATGGCATCTCGCTCTGTCGCCCAGGCTGGAGTGCAGTGGCACAATCTTAGCTCACTGCAACCTCCACCTCCCGGGTTCAAGAGATTCTCCTGCCTCAGCCTCCCAAAAAGCTAGGAACAGAGGTGTGCACCACCCTGCCGAGCTAATTTTTACATTTTTAGTTGAGACTAGGTTTCACCATGTTGGCCAGGATGGCCTTGATCTGTTGACCTCATGATCTGCCCGCCTTGGCTTCCCAAAGTGCTGGGATTACAGGCATGAGCCACTGCACCCAGCCTCCTTTTTTATTGTTAATTCCATCTTGTTCCTGTTTCTTCACATTCTTTCTTTCCTGTTCATTAGACTACCTTTTATATATGCATTTCTTTGCATTTCATGCATTTATAAAATGGAGTATTTCCTACATATACAAATCAAAAATCGTATTATTTTATATGCCTTTCTCTAAAAATATAATATTCTATGCTATGGTATGCTAAAATAAATGTATACTCCCATGATCCTCCACTGATTTGATTCCTAAGCATCAGATACACTTGAGATATGTGGGGGAGCTTTTATTACATGGGCATCACTACATCATTATAATCAGAAAAACCATTACTGCACTAACATTACTCTTTGTTTTCTTCTTCTGTTACAGGGAATTTTGATTACATTGATGACTTTCAGCATTATTGAATTATTCATTTCTCTGCCTTTCTCAATTTTGGGGTGCCACTCAGAGGATTGTGATTGTGATCAATGTTGTTGACTAGCACTATGGGAATAAAGATGTGTCGTAATATTATTTAGCAATGACTTCTGCTTGTAAGGAAAAGCCAAAGGACACATAGAATCTTAAGGTTGGGAACTCTGAAGCAAAGGGGTGTGGCTCAAATGTCAGGGCCACCACCTGCGGGGGTCTGTCCTGCAAACCCGGACTCAACAATGGATGAATAAAGTATGCTGACACACAGATATTATGCTTTGCTAGTTTTACTGAGTGTCTGGGGTGCTTACAGACTCCCTGGAGAGTGCTGTAAACAGTTGGGACTGCCAGTCTTCACCAGCCAGTGAGACATTAATTCAGTAAAATTTAAGAACAGAGGCTTTTAAGTCATCACACCTGTAGAGTAAGATTAAAGGCCAGGTTCTGAGCCTAAAGCAAACACCATTAGTGGGTAATCTCCCCAGTCGACCTCCCCAGAAGAGGGCCATCCAGCTCAAAGTTTAGTTTTAAGACCACATGAGTAAACAAGTTATTCAGATAAACTCCCCCATATGCCCTATTTGCTTTTCTTATTAACTAAATGTAAAGGGGATTTAGGTTGCTTTCAGCTGAAACTTCTACTGAAACTATGCAAAAACCTCTCTGCCTTCTAAGAAGGTTTGTGATTATTCCTTTGAGCTATCTCTAATATTTTTCCCTTAATATTTTTACTACCACCCTGAGTGAATCTCCCCACACTTAAGAGAGGGAGGTTCTGGGGACATTTTGACTGATAAAGCACATCCTGCCTCTTGGCAATGCCATCTGCCCCTCTTCCCAAATCAAATGGTCACCCTGGTATTGTCACTTCTGCTAGTCATGCATTCAACTGAAGGACAGCAATGTGGTGTTACAAAGATATGAACCAAAGCCCAGAGCTTGGGATGATCCAGTCATCTAACTTCGCTGATTGATGACATCTCCTGTTAATTTCGCTAAGAGATTCTAACCAGTGGCTCCTACTCAAATGGTGTGTGGAAAGATGAGTTTGTTGGAGGAATGGTTTGGCCCACAAATTCTACATTAATGCTGTAAGATCATCAATGTTAAAGAGCTGATCAACTAGAATAGCAACAATAAAAATAGTGAGGGCAAATATTGGTGGAACCACTACTATATTCCAGGCATCATCCAAAGTATTATGTAGGTGTTACTCATTTAATCTCACAAAAATCCTAGGAGGTGAATTGTATTATTATACCCATTTTACAGAAAAGGAAACTGAGGCACAGAGGGGTTAAGTAATTTGCTCAAGGTCACAAAGTTTGCAATGGCAGAGCCATAGTATCAACAGGCAGTTGGCTCCAGAATCCAAGGTCTTAATTGCAATGCCAAGGCAAGTTTGGAAGGCACTACTTTCCTCTGGATTCTCTTAACAGCATCTGCATTCAATCTGCTACAATATTTCACGTCCTGTAGCCTATGTAGTATACCACTATAAACTTGTGAAAAGAAAAACAAGGTCTTAGTATTATAAAAACAGTTTTTAATATATAGAGCACCTAAAAAGTTCTCAAGGACCCCAGGCAATCTCAGATCACACTTTGAGAACCACTACCTTATACAGTATTGCCTCTCACTGGCTGACTACCTTTTAAGTATTAGAGATCTTACCTGTATCATCTCACTTGTCCTGACAGCTCTAATGGTATGTATGTCATTTGTCATAGTCAAAAAAATTGAGACTCAAAGTGGTTAACTTTTCAGAAAGGGAGTATGATTTAGAAAGAGGATTTGAGTCAAGGTCCCTAAATTCAAATCCCATTATCCTATGTTGCTTATGGTATAAAAAACTCAGCCAACTCAAATAAATAAGTAATAGGCTTTCATTTCTGCTATTTACTTGAAGAAGCTTAGGTTCTAGGTACATTTGTGAGAATGAGGGAACACAAAATGGCAGAAAAAAAGCAAGTTTTTTACTTTCAGTGAAGATGAAAAATATTTGGCAACTGAATGGCATACAGATGTGTGAGGCTTAAGATATATTTAAAGATGCAAAGTCTTGGGCTTTTAAGTCAGAACTAGGTTTAAATGTTGTCTTAAAGTCAAAAAATAGTAGATGCAAGTTGTTGTGCTTATACACTGCTGGGGGAATATAAATTAATTCTGCTACTGTAAAAAAGTTATTTGGCAATTTCTCAAAGAACTCAAAGCAGAATTACTAGTCAACCAGCAATCCCATTACTGGGTATATAACCAAAGGAATGTAAATTGTTCTATCATAAATACATATGCACGTGTATGTTCATTGTAACACTATTTGCAATAGCAAAAACATGGAATCAACCTAAATGCCCATCAACAGCAAACTGGAAAAAGAAAATATGGTACATATACATCATGGAATACTATGCAGCCACAAAAAAGAATGAGATAATGTCCTTTGCAGCAACATAGATGAAGCTGGAGGCCATCATCCTAAGCAAACTAACACAAGAATTTAAAACAAAATACTGCGTGTGTTCTCACTTATAAGTGGGAGCTAAACATCGAGTACATAAGGACACAAAGAAGGGAACAACAGACACTGGAGACTACTTGAGGGTGGAGGATGGGAGGAGGGTGAGGATCAAAAAACTACCTATTTGGTTACTATGCTTATTACCTGGGTGACAAAATTACCTGTATATCAAGCTTCTGTGATATGCCACTTACTTATATAAAACATCTGCACATGTTCCCCTGAACCTAAAATAAAATTTATTTTTTTTAAGTTAAAATTATTAGAAATAAAGATAGAAGAATTCTTTATGAGGTCAAGGTAGTAAAAAAAATTTCTTAAACAGATCTTAGAACATAAATAGTACCAGAAAGAACTGATACATCCAACTTGGTTGTTATTAAGAATGTTTTATAAGTGTGACAAGAGCAGCTACAAATCAAAGCCTTTAAGTAACACACATAACCAACAAAAATAAGGTGATACAGAATATATAAAATCCTCCTATACATTTATAGAAAAGTACAACTTGATGAAAAATTACTCCAAAGTCATATGCAGCTGTTTCACAGGAGAAGAAAACAAAGGTTAATATATGAAAAGCATTCAATTTCTTAAGTAATTGTGGAATGAAAGGAACTCTCCTACCACGATGGTATAAGTCTAAATGAAGACAACCACTTTAAAAACTAATTGCCTAGTAAAGGTAAAGATACACATACTTTATCACCCAACTTCCACTGCTAGTTAATATACACAAGAGAAATTCTTGCACATGTGCAACAGAAGACACATACAAATGTTTCCAGGGCAGGATTGTCAACAACACCTCAAATGTCCATGGACAGAGAACAGATCAATTGTGCTACATTCTCTACTGGAAGATCACATATTGGTAAAAATATGTTACTTGACATAAATCAACAAAGATGAATTTTACACATTTAATGTTGAGTAAAAGAAAGCAAGTCACATAAGAACACCTTATTAATTCTACCTAAATCATGATTAGAAGACACAAAACCTAAGTAATATGTTGTGTAAAATATAAACACATGTGGAAAGACAAAATAAAATGAAAAGGAAGAGAGTGAAAAACACCAAATTCAGTATAATGGCGAGGTCTGATAAAGAGGGTGGCTGGGGGAAGGATAACATGAGAGCCTTCAAAGGTATCAGCGACACTCTTGCATCTCTAATCATGGCTGTGGGTATGTGGTTTTTTGTCTCACTGTTATAAATACTCTATCACTTATTTATTTATAGACAGAGTCTTGCTCTGTTGCCCAGGTTGGAGTGCAGTGGCATGATCTCAGCTCACTGCATCCTCTGCCTCCTGGGTTCAAGTGTTTCTCCTGCCTCAGCCTCCCAAGTAGTTGGGATTACAGGCATGCACTACTATGCTTGGCTAATTTTTGTATTAGAGATGGGGTCTGGCCATATTGACCAGACTGGTCTCTAATTCCTGACCTCAGGTGATCTGCCCGCCTTGGTCTTCCAAAGTGCTGGGATTATAGGCATGAGCTACCATGCCTGGTCCATACTATTTAATTTTTGAGAAATATAATTGAGAAAGCAAACTGGCATCATTATTTTAAATAAATTTTTATTATATAATGATATTTTTATAGTCAAAACGTGCAGAAAAATGTTTCTACTACATATCAGTCTCCAATGATAGCATATTTATTAGTACACAAGAGAAAAAAATCTTTTCAATAACTGTGAGGTCAGATAATTGCATTTTGTTTCTTCAGCTATATTCCCACATAACAAAAGCAAATGGAACAATCCGGGAGTCTGCGCATGGGAGTACATTAGGCATTTTTATATCTTCAAACTAACAATAATAAATGTTTTGCCATTTAAAGCTGTGTCACCTGAACAAATTAATCTTTGTGGGCTTAAAATTTTGAGACTAGAATGTAATAATAACAATACCTACCTAATAGGTTTACAGTGAACCTTAAATGAAATATGGAAAGTGATTTTATCAGTGCCTGGAACTTAAAAATCCCTTGGTAAATGGTAGTTTTTAAAATTTATATTTAGATTTTCTTGCTCTCAACATCACTTATTTTATCATTTACCAGCTTTGCAACTTGGGGCTGGCTTCCTCCATTTCCTGAACTTTAGTTTCCACAATTATAAAACAGAATCAATATTATATGTGTTTTAAGACTTTTTTGTGGACAATTCTTCACATATATGCAATTATTTAACATTACCTTCCTAGCTGTTCAAAATGTGAAATAGTCCCTCAGAACAGAAAGATGATCCTATAAAATATAAATTTCTTAAGTACTTGAATTTACATTTTCCTTAGTATGAATTATAAGTGCAGCAATGGGATTTTCTGACCTGTAACCAAGTTCCATTTGCAATTAGATCTTTAGCCTCACCTCTGAGGAACCCTATGTCTCCCTTACCAATTCTCTGACCCCAAAACCCTCCAATAGCAGATAATTCTGGGTGCCAGGGCCTTGCTGAGCAGTTGGGAACATGGCATAATGTTACTTCCTAATATTGGAGAGCCTGGTGATGATCACCTGGGTGAAAGAAAGAGCCAAACAGAATCATTCTTTTTCAGCACTGACAGGGACACAGCAATCAGAAAAACTGACCTTGTTTTCAAGGGATAAGGAGACAATGGCTAAGTAAGGCAAGGACACAAATGATGATGTAGCTATAGTTTTCATAAAAGAGGGTGAGGATTAAAAAAAAAAACCTGGAGTGCTAGGACATGCAGGGAATAAAAAGAAAATTCACACCAGGAAAATACTAACTAAATATAAGTTGGAACACTTTATGCAGACTTTAAGAAAGAGATTGTCTTTTGGAAGAAAGACCACTAGACAATAAAAATAGGCTTAATTCAAAGAGAAATATTTTAAATATGTTATCAACCTAATAAAATATTCTCAAACCTTGGGGGAAGGGTGATGGTGATACATCAAATAAGATGCTATTGACAAATCCAAATTGTAGTGGGAATTTCAACACACTCAAGCACTAAAACATTGATCATTCGAAATCAACAAAGATAAGGTAAACATTTATGTATTAATACAAATTCAAATTCAAGTTTATTTGGGAAGAATCATATACAGAGCCACCTAAGTTATCTTGTTGGCCACAAAGTAGCAAACAGCCTGGGGAAAAACAGGGCTCAAACAGAGAAAAGGATGCAAAAGACCAGGTTGTGCAGCCACAACTCAAGCCCCTTTGCTGTCGTACATTTGCCAAGTTCTGACTCTCTTTGCATGTCAACTTAAATGAAGGCACATGCCTCTAACCACCCCATCAGCCTGGACTCAAACCTCAGGTTTCACAATCATCCTCAGCTCAGACCCTAGGTAATGGCCACCCCATCACCAACCACTCAAGCATTTCAGCAGGTATGCATAGACCCTCAATTAGAATGTTAAATGGATGCTGGATCTTCTGTCCCCACTCTCCTTCCCTCTACAGCATTTCTGAGAGGTGACTGCGTGGCTTTTACTTGAATATTCTTGAAGACAGTAAATTGTCTATTCAAATGGTAGCCAGTTCTTCTAATGAACCACTCCAATGATTAGGAAAAAAAAAAGGTGGCATATTTCTTAATATCACACTACAATCAGCCTCCCCAGAACGACTTCTACCTAGTGGATCTAACTGTATGGTTCCAAATTGTCTTAAATTTAAAAAGACCGAAAGAGAAAGAGAGGAGAGATGAAAGAGAGAGACAGGAATGAACCTCGAATTAGGCAACAGAGATGCCTGCCATATTTCATCCTTTTAGATTAAATGAACAAATAGTTACCTAACTACAGCTGGGTCTCTAAAAAAAATAAAGCAATGAACAAGGAAATTAAAATGTAATTAGAAATCCAACATATGAACATAAAAGTTAAATATTGCAGGGGGAGATAGATGACAACATCTATGGGCAAAACTTTGATTCGCTTCCCAAGTATCTAAACTCTCCTGATACCACCACCTTCTTCCATTTCCCCACTTGATCTTGTACTGGGCTTCATGACCCTCAAGCTCCAGGCTAGTCTAAAAAGAGAGGAAGGGACACAAGGGAACTAGACAGATGGTAGAAAAAGGTGGGTTCAGAGGTAAAAGTGCTATTTCAATTTACATCTCCAAATATGAAGGCTAATTCTTGCTCTGAGTGACTGGGTACACGTTCTATGGCACTAAAGTGTATTTTTAGGCCATTTCTGCCAAATCTGACACAAGATACAGACATGGTTCATCAGAAATCTGAGTACGAGCAAATGAGGACACTATTTGGAGACCCCTAAGTACAGTGCTCCCTAGTGTACAGGCTCCGTGATTCTTGAATCTCTGCATGGATGCCCCCTCCCCACCTACTCAGCCCTAAAAGTGAGGCAAGAAGGTAAAAGTCAGTGCTAACAGCCCATCTTTGGCCAACTTCTAGACTCTTTCTTGTCCTTAGGGACCTACCATCCACACCTGCTTATAGGGTGGGGGCTGCAGAAGTTATCTAATTAAGGTAGCATGAACCAGGCCAGGCAGTCCCCTGGGGTCTTTTTCAAGAAGTGAAACCTGGTAAGGCAGAAACTTTTTTTTCACCTCCTTCAACTTTGGTTAAGTGTTAAACCAAAGTAACTGGAGCGAAGCTCAAGGTCGCGGAAGCCACTGATTTCCTGTCACCTGGTATCTATCAGCGATTTCATCCCCAGGCCTGGACTATCTCACTCACCCTCCCAGTGTGCTTGAGGTACTAGCAGCACCCACTGAACTCCGCCGCCAGCATCCAAGTCAGCCCTTGAGATTTGAGGCCTTGGAGACGCAGGTAAGGAATCAATTTGTTTTCTCTAAATGACTTAAAGGAGGTGATGGATAAGGTATAGAATGGTTTTGAAGGCTGGAGGTTCTTGGTTTTAATTCTAGAGTTTCCCTAGTCAGGCTTCCTAATAGTTCTATGACTTAAGGAGGGGGGATTGTATCAAGACTTGCTGCCCACTCACTCCTCTAACCACTCTCCCTCTCTACAATTACCCTGTGCAGTCAACTGTGAATCATTCCACAAAAGTAGTAGATTGCAACATACAGGTTAAATCATGGTTTCTAAACCGTTGGAGGTCTTCCGCTTACAAGCCACATAACTTGAGTAAATTGCTAAACCTCTAAAGCCTCAGCTTTCTCATCTGTAAAATGGGGGCAATGGTAATACCCATTGCATTATGAAAATTATAACTAAAATCCAGAATCCCTTAGGCCCTCCCAATACCAAATGAGAAAACAATCAGTGATAGCCATAATGAAAAAAAACTCCATTCCTCTTTCCTTAAATGCTTTTGTCTACATTAAATGTAAATACATCTAGATGTATAGGTGGCTTTACAGGTTCACATTTTCTGGAGGAGATTTGTGGACACCAAGTTGAGCACAAAATCCTTCCTCAAATCTATTACATAGGAAACAAAGAGTGAGAGGGGGCACTGGAGACTGAAGATGGGAGACAGCTCTAATGAAAGAAAAGAAGGATTGATTTTAATCATGTCATTACTGTTTCCTGAACCCACTATATAAGTGATTTCCTTTCCCTGTTTCCCATATAATGGCTTAATCTCACGGAGAATCTGGTGAAAAGAAATTTTCAATCTAGCATTGTGAACATTCGTGTGTGTGTGTGTGTTGTTTGTTTGTTAATTTTTTAGTGGAGAGGAGGTTTTGCCATGTTGGCCAGGCTGATGTCAAGCTCCCAACCTCAGGTGATCCGCCTGCCTCGGCTTCTCAAAGTGCTGGGATTACTGGCATAAGCCACCACACCTGGCCATTGTAAGCATTTGTAAACCTGCCCTAAGGAAGTAGCCTGATGTTCAGTTTAACATTACCGAGCTCATAGTACATAGAAAACAGGTTCCTTATGCAAGTCTAGTAGAATGCAGGATTCTCTGAAGAAAGTACTTGGTGTTTAGCAAGGAAAGCAAAGAGCTGGGAGCTCTGAAGAATTCCTTGCAATCAGGCTAAGAAGCTAAGGCAGGTGGATCACCTGAGCTTGGGAATCTGAGACCAGCCTGGCCAACATGGCAAAACCTCCTCTCCACTAAAATACAGGAATGCCCTCAAGTGATATGCATATCTAACAAGAGTTGGACTGAAAGTAAAGAGAGAGGGAGAAGGAGCACTTCAAAGTTGAGAGGATTCAGGGAAGAAGGTAGAGAACATGTCTAAACCAGTGGCTCTGATGGAAATGGTGGGATCTGAGCTTGGAAAGTCATACAGGGCTGAATTCCAAAGGCCTTGAGGGGTCAGATGGAGGGTTTCTCTGGTAGGCAATGACAAGCCAGCAAAGGAGTTCAAGCTCAGGAAGAGCATCACTCAAAGCAGTGATCAGGAGCTTGACATAGCAACCTCGTGGACAGTGGATTAGAAAAGAAAAAGACTGAAGGCAGAAAAGCAAAAGTTGTGTGCTAAATCATGAATGGAAATGAGAAACTCACAGGTATCACTGGATATAGAAGAAAGACCCACGTGCAATATGCGTTGCAGAGGTAGAAATGGCGTGACTTGACCACTGACTGACCAATAGCCAAGATGAAGATGGACTGAGAGATGATGGAGCTGATGTGAAATGTGGTCCCAACTATCTAAGCCTGGGTGGCAGGGGAAACAAATAACACAATCTGAAGGAACGAGGACTGAGAAAAGACCACTGACTTCGCAGCACAGTCCTCAAAGAGCAGTTTCAGTTCAGTGACTGGCGGAAACTAGTTGCAAAGCATTGAAGAGTGAGTGGGTGGTGAGGAGGCTGGGGAAAGAGAGTGGGTAGCAGCTTTGAAGATGCTGTGGTGAAGAAAAACGGAGCCTGGGCAGTGGCTAAGGACATTGCTAGATTAAAAGAAGAGGGCTTTGGGATTCAGGGACGCTGTCGTACATTTTAGTCATAAAAGGAGTATTTAGCACCTTATCAATTGCAAATTATCTCATTTTCCTAAAATGATACTTTGAAATGGGGAAGGCAACTATTATCCTAAACTTAAACCACAAGAGGAGCAAGCAAGAGAGCTGGGACTAACTCTGTCTGCTACGTATTGTCAGAAATTGAGAGACTGAAGGTGCAAAGAAGTAATTTCTTGGAAAGGCTAACAGCTTGGTGGACTGAGAAGGGCTGAAAAGCACAGAGGGAAGGGAAGTAACAGCATTCTTCCTCAGAAATAAGTACACAGGAGGCCAGAAAGGATAAAAATGCAAAGGTATTTTGAGTGGCAAGGAAAGAAGGTGAGGTAACAAAAGTGAGGCAGTTTTAAACTTCTCGGCATACGATGGTACTAGTGGACATAAAAGTCTATTCACACCAAAACCCATAAAGGCTGTGAGATTCTTCTTCAGTGGATGCACATGAAAACAAGGGTGCCTTTAAAAATGCTAAAAAAAAATATTTGCGGGAGCTAGTTTGAGTAATTAAATGGGGTACTGAGTGATAACCTGAGTCCTGATTTTAATATCCATTCTGATTTTGGCACCAGCAAATGTAAAATCTCATTGTTATCATATTTTGGTGAATGTGGTCCATAACTCCTACTAATCTACTAACTAATCTTTGAGCATCGCTGTGCATTGGGCACCAAGTCATTGTGAACAATTTATTTTAATGATAAGGCAAAACTGTGTGAATCTACAATTTCCATAGGAGGATGTGGGCTAGTTTTATGCATTTATAAATTCTCATGAAATGAAAGTTTTTCATTAGAACTAAACATATAAATTGATTTATGGCATTGAATGCCATAAATCAATTTATATATTTACCTCATTATATATATGATATATATATATGACAGAGCAATAGTTTCCATAAAAAATAAAAAATAGAGAAAACACTCATGTTTTTGTTTATAAACTATTTCACACAAATATTTAAGGCTTGTAGAAATATAGTTGCCATCATGAGATACCATTTTAACAGAGAAATAAAATATCACACACACACACACACACACACACACACACACACACACACACACAGCCCTCATGGTCATTCTTGCCATTAGTCACAACAGGCACAGCCCAGGTAGAATTGGATTACAGAAAAGGTTTCTCTCACCAATAATATAGACACAGCTTTCATCAAGCAGTTGATGAATAAAATGAAATTAAAACAATGGCGATCCAATCATCTTCTTCAGTTCAAACAATTACAATCTTTGCATTTTAGTTATCTTCATTAAAATTACCCCTCTGGGACGGAGTGTAGTGACTCCCAGCTCATTCTATTCTTACCATAGGACCTTGGGAAAAATAACCTCTCTGAACCTCCATTTCCACATCTGCAAAAAGTAGTCAAAATGCCTACTTAGGATGGTGTTGAGTGAATTGGCAATACCATATACAGGATCCCTAGTATAGTAGGTTCTCAGTAAACAACTATAATTATCTGGACTCACCTATGGTACAGCAGAAAAAGCATCAACATCAGAGACATGGTGACTGCCTTCTAACTTGGCTCTGTTGCTAAGTGTGAGGTCTTTACCAAGGCAGGTTCTAAACCCAGACTGCAGTTTCCTCATTTGTGAAATGAACAGAATGGTTTCTGAGGTTTGCACTAGCTCTAGAAATCCTACCTAGTGACCAGAATCGGTCTGCAAACTCTTTAGTGAGCTATATGAAAATATTTCTTTTTGTTAGCAGTCTTGCAGCGTGGCTTGTGGTACAAAGCAGATCCCCAGGACCATGTGACATCTGGCTATCTAGGTCGGGGCAAAATCAAGTGAGAAACAACCAAAGTTTCTTGTCTTCCCTCTAGCCCATGCCCCAAACAGATAGTAATTTTCAATTAATTTATAGTTATTCAGATAGTGCATATATTGAAAGGAGAAAAGAGGAGTTCATAAGGGAAAAGCTGAATTCCTGTTTCTCACAGTAGACAAAGCAGCCTGATACCCTGGATTCCTCATTTGAGCGATTCAAGTCTTCATTTTAAATCTTTACTGGCTAGGCATGGTGGCTCACAGCTATAATCCTAACATTTTGGGAGGTGGAGGTGGGCAGATTGCTTGAGTCCAGGAGTTCAAGACCAGCCTGGGAAACATGGCAAGACTCCATCTCTACAAAAAATATAAAAATTATTTGGTGTGGTAGCACTTGCCTGTGGTCCCACCTACTGCTGAGGCTGAGGCAGAAGGATCACCTGAGCCCAGGAGGTGGAGGCTGCGGTGAGCTGTTATCATGCCACTGCACTGCAGCCTGGGTGACAGAACGAGACCCTATAATGGAAAAAACAAATAATTAAATATTTACTAATTATCTAAATTGGAACAAGTAACCTAACTTTTCCATGCCCTTGTTTCCCCTTCTATAAAACAGAGGTGATGATTGACCCCTTGCCTATCTTATAAGGCTCAGATGAGATGCCATGTGTAAAATTTACTTCTAACTCTAAAGTAGGTATAAATGTGAGTGACTACTAGCTGCCTGTTTTACAGCACACCTGCAGCCACTCAGCTCTGATTGACTACAGTAAGATACACTTCAGCCTGTGGTCTAATGGCTGGGATGTGGCACTGGCTTCAGTAAGATACGTGACTTGGATAGACAGTCTTGATTTCTAAGACATCTTACGTGACTTACAATCAATAAAGACAAGATCAAAGGTGTGTCCCCAAAAGAGTGATTTTCAGATTCCAGGAAAGACCCAATAGAGTCCACATAAGTGGGTGACATACACCAGTGAATACTAAGGATACCCAAGATGAAGATTGAACAGGGTCTTAAAATGTCTGAGCTGGAAAGGACCTTGTTCATTGACTTCTCACTTCAGAAATGAATAAATCATGAAAACTGATAAACAGTATTTACCACACTCTTCTTTTGTAAAAGGCACAATTGCATATGTTAACTTATTTATGTCTTGCAGCATCTCAGAGAGGGGTACTGTTCTTTATGGAAGGATAAAATAGAAATGAATGCTCAGTAAGGTACAAAGAAGAACAAGAATAGCAACAAAAATAACTATTCCAACATGGGTTCCTTGCATACATTTATTTTTTCAGTAATATTTATTAAGAAGTAACTAAATTCAAGAATTATTTTAGATACTGAAAAAGAAAGAACAAAATCTCTACTTTAATGGAACTTTCATTCTATGGGGAAAGAGAGACAATAGGCACGTAAATAAATAAGGTAATTTCCCACAGTGATCAATGCCATGAAGCAAATAAAATAGGATTTTGTAAAAAGGAGCAAATAGGAGTACAGGTTATAGACTGAGGGTTCAAGGTAGCTTCTCTAGGAGCTGACATTTGGGCTACACCTGAACAAAAAGCCACTAGCCATGCACAGACCATGAGCCCAGTTAAATGTTATAGTAGCCCACGAGAATTATGATTCCCACTTTACAGTTGAACCTGAGGCCCAGAGAATTTAAAGAACTTGCCCAACATCTCAGAGAAAATAGAGGAATCACTATTTAAACCTAGGCAATCTGACTCAGGAGGCCACAATCTTACGACATTAGAAAGCCTTAGAGAGCCTTTTTTTTTTTTTTTTTTTTTTTTGAGATGGAGTCTCGCTCTGTTGCCCAGACTGGAATGCAGTGGCACGATCTCAGCTCACACTGCAACCTCTGCCTCCTGGGTTCAAGCGATTCTCCTGCCTTAGCCTCCTGAGTAGCTGGGATCACAGGTGTGTACCAACACGCCTGGCTAATTTTGGTATTTTTAGTAGATACAGGGTTTCACCATGTTAGCCAGGCTGGTCTTGAACTCATGACCTCAGGTGGTCCGCCTGCCTCGGCTTCCCGAAGTGCTGGGATTACAGGCATGAGCCGCTGTGCCCAGACTAGAGAGCCTTCTTGATGTGACTTGCACAAGGTGGCAGAGTTAGAGACAGAGGGAGGCCTGGAATCGACCCCTCCTGCTTCTACATATTGTCCTCACGATACTCTGCAGTGTTGCCTCTAGCCCATCATAATAGACAAAGGCAGATAAGCAGAAGGACAAGTCCACAGAAAATACATTTTCCAACATTAAAGCATAAGAAAGCATCCAGGAATAAAAAACAAAGAGGACACACAGTCATATATGCAAGGTGTTCTCTACGAAGATAAAGTATGCCCCAAATCCTGTTGCCAAGAACACTGGCAGGGACTCCTGGGTCCGTATGTTCTTGCCTAAGGCAACCCCTCCACACCCTTTCTCAGAACTCAGCAGTAGGCCTTGCCTCAGAGCTGATGTCCCACAGAAGAGGCCATGTCTACCCTCAATGACACTTATGGAGGAAACGCTGAGAAGCATACAGCTGCATGACACAAGGAAAATTCCCAAAAATCTTGTTCTTGCTTTCCTCACTTTGCTATTTGTTTTATTTTTAGGAGTTTTGAGAGCAAAATGACAACACCCAGAAATTCAGTAAATGGGGCTTTCCCAGGAGAGCCAATGAAAGGCCCTATTGCTACACAACCTGGTCCAAAACCAGTCCTCGGGAGGATGTCTTCACTAATGGGCCCCACACAAAGCTTCTTCTTGAGGGAATCTAAGGCTTTGGGGGTAAGTCAGTTGCCTTCAATGCCTCATGTCGTAGGGATTCTCTGGCCAACAGAAGCTGATGCTGTAGGTCACATACAGAATTCAATCCAACTTGAAGAACTGGGATCCAACTTGATGTGTTCTTTATGTCTACCACAGTGGGCCAAATCAGGGTTGCATCAGAGGGGTTATCACCTGGATCACCTCTGGGTGATCTTAGGTCACCTTGTGGATTGGGGGCTTGTATATTTAGGGGTCTCCAATCCCAGTCCATTTCCAGAATCCCGGGCATACCTGCTCCCTGGAAATGTCACTTGTAGTTGAGGAAACAGATTCAAACAAGAAAAATACAGAATTCTTGGCACCTCCACTGGTTCCTTTAGGTATTCCTCATAGCTCCAAGTCAGGAGCCAGGGCTTCCAACCTTGGCTTTCCCTGACAGCAGTGATGCTTTCAGCTCATCTATCACTGCCTTTCTTCTTTCCCCAGGCTGTCCAGATTATGAATGGGCTCTTCCACATTGCCCTGGGGGGTCTTCTGATGATCCCAACAGGGGTGTATGCACCCATCTGTGTGACTGTGTGGTATCCTCTCTGGGGAGGCATTATGGTGAGTCAATGAATGGCAGTCATTTGGGAAATTGTGCAAGCAAAAACGTTAAAAGGCTCCACAGGGATATGCCAGATTATTTCTGTGTTGAGGGAAATATATGAGTAGGAAATATTATTGAGTTAAAGTAATTAAGAAGAGAGGTTGACCAAATTGAGTATAAATCCCACCATGGTTGAGAGTCAGTGGTCCTGTTTCATGTGAATTCAGGGAAAGACGCTCTGCAAGGATCTCACAGGGACTGTCCAAAGCAAGAGCTCTCCAAAGGCAGTTCTGGTGGGGAGGGTGGCGCTAGACATTTGGACTAGCTAGCAAGATGTTTTGGAAAGCAAGAGGGGGCAGGAGCATCCGCTTCCTCCCATCTACTCCTTCTTCCCTACAATTCTGTTTAGTTACTGTGGTACCTGGTGAAATTTGTCCCATCTCAAATCAATCTCATTTTGTTTATCAACAGAGCAGCACTCTTTTGGCTGTTTTATGTACATGCTTTCCAAATCTGTAACCCTGTCTGCGTGCGGCACATAGGACAGTGAGGTATATTTCCCCATGACACTTTTCATAGTTGCCACCATAAAGATAAGTCCAGGATTAAAATGTTCCAAACAAGTAGGGACGGGTTAGAACAAGAGTTTCCTCCATTCTACAGCCTGAACGTGAGAAAAGGAAGATGAGCAATACTCATCATCATTTCCTGTAACAGCCAATGTTTTAATGGAGTGCCTGTGCCATTCAGGTCAACTATTGCCCTCTCTACCAATTCACCCATCAGAGGGCATCAGAGTCATCTAAGTCACTGTGAACCCAAAGGGCATCTCCACAAATTAAAAACAAAGAAAAACTGAAAATAAAACTTTTAAGTTCATGGTGTGGGTATTAACTGATTAGTAAATATGAGTTCTGTCTCATTGGTCTTATTATATTCCTAGTCACAGCTCCCCAGATGATGGAGCAAAAGGCATGAATTGAGTGTTACTGAGCCTGAATAAAGGAGAAACATGACTGTCGAATAATGAATAAACCTGATAAAAATGGGTGGATAGTTGTGTGAAAGCTGCTGAAAGTACAGGCTTCTGACCAGTTATCAATGTTAAAAAGTGATCTCCCCCTCTCTTCTTTCTCCTGCTTTGCCCACCTCCTCTCCAACTCCCCCACCTCTCTTTTTACAGTATATTATTTCCGGATCACTCCTGGCGGCAACGGAGAAAAACTCCAGGAAGAGTTTGGCAAGTAACCGTATGTCCTTCTTTCCCATGTGTCATAGAAGTACCTATTTTCTTGGTCAAAAACTGAAAGGCTTAAAGAGCCGAGGTGACACAGACTCTCAGGCCGTAAAGCAAAGACCCTCCATGATGTTACTGTAATTTTATTCATGAAAACCTTACAAGTGAGGTCTATCTGAAGGATGTTCATGGAAACAGAACTAAAAGCAGATCCATGAAACCTGTTCCTACAGTCTTATGTTAAATGTTGTGTGAAAAGAATAGACCTCTCTGAAAGCCCTATAATTTCTCCCAGACCACCATTTAGGAAAATCATCCGATCAATGTCATGACTGATTCAAATTCTAGCTATTTTTGGGGTATAACATGGAACAAGTCAGTTTACCTCTATGTACCTCTGAGTTTTCACCTATAAAGCAAGAGTAACAGTCCTTGCTACCATGTGACCTCACAATGGAAAAGAAATGCAGTAGTGTGTGTGATGGTGCTTCAGAGGCTATAAGGTGCTACACTGTGGTCTTGCTCATAAAACCCCTAGGGACTCGTCTACATCCAGAAGAAACTGGCCTTCAGAGCTGCCGATGCTGTATGGATGAAAAGGGCTTACCAGCAAGTTTGCTCCCCAAAAAATCCTCCCCCAACACTGTCTCTTACTTACTAAACTGAGTCACTTTTATAATCAATGAGGGAATGCATGGATTAAGGTGGTTCCTCTCTTAAAGTGGTCTGACAAATTCAGTTTTGGGGGAAAAAATTTTTATAAAAATCAAATTATTCTCCAGATACAGCCAGACCTACTGACTTGCCATGGGTAGGCCATAGAGCCAGGAATGAAATATGTGTAGCATAAAATAATAACCAAAAATCCCGTACCATTATGGTACTTGTCAATATAGTTTCCTGTTTCAACCTTTTATTGTCCCTGTAAGGTAAAACATCCACACTGATATTCTCTTACCTATGTTACTCAAAGACATCAGCCCTAATTGTATTTTGTAAGATGACTTACTGGGGCTGATTGCAGGAGTAGGTGTTGTTACTGTTGTTGTTTCTGCCTTTTATTTCCATGTATTTGATAGTACAGATCTAGAGGGTTCTATCTGAACCTTCCCAACCTGTACTTCACAATGCCATCCCACTGAAGTGTGATACAAGAACCTTCTTCTCTCTCTTCCCTCTACCTATGTATGAAGGAAGATAATAAACTGGATCATATTTATCTTCACCTATTCAACAAATATTTATTGAATGCCTACTAGGATGGTGGCAGTGGCAGTGAAGGAAGTGCAAGGATACAAGATACAGAATCAAGGGTTACTCCTAGAATTTTTGCTTTTATAAAGTGAATGTATGGTAATGGCATAAAAAGATTTTATTTTATAGTGACAAAGAGGCTAAAAACAACTGAGAGAACTTCAGTATATTTAGTTGTAGTTGCTTTGTGAGTCAGGGGAGTGGCATCTGGAATTCCTTCCCAGATTATGTTTTCCAAAGGAAAATCAAACCTAATTAATAAATCTCTGTCTCCATTTCAGGTCAAAGGAAAAATGATAATGAATTCATTGAGCCTCTTTGCTGCCATTTCTGGAATGATTCTTTCAATCATGGACATACTTAATATTAAACTTTCCCATTTTTTAAAAATGGAGAGTCTGAATCTTATTAGAGCTTACACACCAACTATTAACATATACAACTGTGAACCAGTTAATCCCTCTGAGAAAAACTCTCCATCTATGCAATACTGTTACAGCATACAAACTCTGTTCTTGGTAAGTGTGAAATTGGATTTATTTCCAGGGAGGAAGGATGACTTGTTTATGATGAGAATTAACTCTGGATCCAGACCACCTGAGTTTCCTAGTTACTGCCTATGTAGTTTTGGGCAAGCATTTTAACCACATTCTGCCTCAATTTCTTCAATGGTAAAATGAGGATGGTAACACTATCTAATAGTGTTGTTCTGAGGAATAAGTCAGTTAATATATGCAAAGCATTTAGAACAGTGCCTGGTACACAGAAGTGTTATACAGGCATTGGCTTTAACATTAATTATTGTCAGCAACATTAATGGCATTAATATTTGTCATTGTTTTGATTAAGTAAGATTAGCATAGAAGAAATACCTAAGATATTATGAATATCTCTTGCCCAAGGACTTCTAAATGTAGAGTTTGAAGGAGACAAAAAAAAAAATGCATTTCCCAAGGATAAAGAGGTCTCCTTGGCATGATGCCAACAACCTAAGGCTGAATACAATTTAATTTGAGAACTCTTCAACTGATTATTTATACCTTATCTTCTATCAGCAATACACATTAACCATCTGTTGTGTGCCGAAAGTTGTGCTAAGAGTTGGGGTTATAAGGATGCTGTCTCCTGTACTAGTAGTTCTCACAGCTAGTCATTACTTGTCTAAAGAATTGATCTCTCAATCATTCAATTATAGTCAACAATAACTTACTCAACACCAATAATGTTCTTTGTGCCATTATTACATTTTCACCCTCATTCTTCTGTTGTTTTTCAGGGGATTTTGTCAGTGATGCTGATCTTTGCCTTCTTCCAGGAGCTTGTAATAGCTGGCATTGTTGAGAATGAATGGAAAAGAATGTGCTCCAGACCCAAATCTGTAAGTAGTAGGCCCTCTGGCCACAACATTCCTCTGGAAAATCCACCTCCACAAAAGATCATTTATGGAGAATGTAATCTGATGAGACTTTGAAACTAGGAGCTTGATTTTTTTTTTAAATGGTCTTGGTATATTTCTGGAAAGCAAATAATATCAATAGCATGGAAAGATGCCTTGAAATTTGAAATAAGTCTGTAGTTATAGCCTACAGTTCTACATTCTACATTTTTGTCTGTTTTGAGATGGAGTCTCACTCTGTCACCCAGGCTGGAGTGAAGGGCGCAATCTTGGCTCACTGCAACCTCCACTTCCAAGGTTCAAGCGATTCTCTCACCTCAGCCTCCTGAGTAGCTGGAATTACAGTCACCCACCATCATAGCTGGCTAATTTTTATATTTTTGTAGAAACGGGGTTTCACCGTGTTGGTCAGGCTGGTCTTGAACTCCTGACCTCAGGTGATCCTCCTGCCTGGACCACCCAAAGTGCTGGGATTACAGGCGTGAGCCACCACGCCCGGCTTCTGTGTGTCTTCTTACTAACCGTCCCTGCTGCTTGACTTCAGGCTTCCATCCTGATTTCATGATTCCGTATTTAATATGTAAAAGCAAAATGGTTGAAGGTTGAAGGCTGACTAAAGTCACTAGTTCTTTTATTTCAGTATTCCCCCTTCCTTCCTTTTCACCTAATTCCTCTTCCAAAACAGTAAGTTAAGGGGCTCCACAAATGGGAAATAAAAAGATACCAATAATACATCTATTACTAACTGCTTCAGAACCAGACTGTTAGATTAATAGAATTTAGAAATCATCACTAATTCCTTCATTTTGCATTTAAAGAAAAATAGTATCAAAGAAAGAAAATTATTCTCCCAGAGTTATAATCACTAAAGGCAAATCAGAACTAAAATCTAATTCCTCTATTACTGCAATGTTCTTTTCCAAATACCATGTGGTAATTCCAGGCACTGTGGTAAATGTCTACTGCCCTTGAAGATTTACTCAGACTTGAGTTTTAATAAGTGACTTGATGAGGATTTAAGCACCCGAGAAATGAATCCTGGCATTTAAAGGCATATAATAAACTACACAAGTAGCATAAAAACTAGGAGGTACTTGATAAATGTTTGTAGAGATTGTTGACAAAGGTACCAATGGTAAAAGGTAAGAATACTTTGTTTAATTTTGTGTTCTAGAACATAGTTCTCCTGTCAGCTGAAGAAAAAAAAGAGCAGGCTATTGAAATAAAAGAAGTGGTTGAGCTAACTGAAACATCTTCCCAACCAAAGAATGAAGAAGACATTGAAATTATTCCAATCCAAGAGGAAGAAGAAGAAATGGAAACAAACTTTCCAGAACCTCCCCAAGATCAGGAATCCTCACCAATAGAAAATGACAGCTCTCCTTAAGTGATTTCTTCTGTTTGCTGTTTCCTTTTTTAAACATTAGTGTTCATAGCTTCCAAGAGACATGCTGACTTTCATTTCTTGAGGTACTCTGCACACACCCTCCACTTCTTCATCTGGCCTTTGCATGGAGTGCCCATAGCTCTTTCTCTCTCACATTCAGAGAATGCAGCCATTGCAGCAGCTTGCATTGTCATAATTATTCTTTTGTGCAACTTTCTTACATTGAAGAAAGGCAGAATGAGTACTTTGGAATGTGATTTCCTACTAACCTGTTCCTTGGATAGGTTTTTCAGTAGTAGGTTTTTGGTTTTTTGTTTTGTTTTTTCCATTTTCTCCATCAGCAACCAGGGAGACTCTGCACCTGATAGAAAGGATATATGACTGCTCCATTATATCCCTAAACTATCTTTTTTTTCCCCACATCTACATGTTTGGTAGAGTCCCTTTTGCATCATTTTAAGGACAATTAAAAAAAACAGTAATTAGGAACAATACAGAACCTACTCCATCTATCTTTCTGTGGGGCTGACACTGTGGCATATTCCTAGAGTCACCACACCCCGTGAGGGAAGCTCTAAACAGACAATACTCATCTGTTTTTAGTAGAAACAGCATAGCTTATGTGTGGACATGTCCCTGCCTTAACTTTTCCTAACTCCCACTCTAGGCTATTGATTGCATGTCTACCTTCTTTATGCAAGAAAAGAAAAAAAATGACCATAGAAAATGCCACAATTAGGTACCCAAATCTCAAATAATAATCAACACTTAGTTGTATTTATAATTTCCAGATGACAATGTATTTCATGAAATAACTTCACTTGATGTTCCATGATCAAGAAAGAATCCCTATCTCTATTTTACAAGTAATTCAAAGAGGTAAAATAACTTGTAAACCAGAAAAGGTAACTTGTCAACAGTCACAATTGGTAATTATGAGAGCCTTGTTTCATAACCAGGTCTTCTTATTCAAATATGATGTGATGTTTGAAATAACCAAATTGTCTCTTCAATGTCTGCATAAACTGTGAGAGCGAAGTCAACAGGTTTTATCAAGAACTTAGTCTGACCAGCACTAAGCAAGCACTAAGAGACACAGAGAATCAGAATCAGATTTTGCCCATGGGGAGAAAAAGGCTGAGACTTTCACCACATTTGGAAAACTACTTGCATCATAAATATATAATTAACTGGTAGTTTGTATAAAGCAGTCATTACGTGCTATAGACATTCTCAGAATATCATACTTGGAAACGATGTAATTAAAATGCCAAATCTGAGGCAATAGCCGCCCTACTTTTCAATTCAGATATACCTTACCTAGTACCTTTCCTAGAAATAATGTTAGCCTGGGGTGAAGTCACTATTATCCATAGTCTATTACTTGGGCATTTGCTACATGATGAGTGCTGCCAGATTGTGGCCAGTAAAGAGACAATGTAATTTTCACTTCCTATGATATTTCTACATTTTTAGAGACTACTAGTGGAAGATATTCTGTATAATTAGAAAAAAAGGAGACAGAACATTTCTGTCTATGTAGAGTTCTCAAAATTCATTCTAAATTAATAAAACTATCTTTGTATTCTTTTCTGCAACAGTTGATTCCAACATCGGTGTTTATCTGTTCTTCTTTACTCTTGGAACATTAGACCATGGGAGGCTCTGACAGCCTTGAGTTCATATTTATATAACCCCAATCTAGGTTTGAAATGTGAGGTGTCGGTTCATCAAATATTCATGTCTATATATTTTAAACATGTTCCCAAAGAAAATGTTCATGGGATAGGTCATTGATAATAGATTCCTTACTCCCAGAACTCCAGGCAAGGACTGGAATATATATGGCAGGTGATTTTGCCTCAAACAAGAGAAGAAGGAAAATGACACGGTAGGAGTAGGCTTGAGAAAAAAATGAAAATCAGAAAATTTTCAAAAAATACAAGGTCTTATTTCTATTTTACTTTTTCTCCACTTCTGAAATATACATGAGGATTCCTCTCCAAACCCATGGTTTCTCTATGAATTTTGAGTCATTTGTATGACTTCAAAATAATTAGTTTTTGCTGACCTTACATAACTTCTTATAATAGGAGACACCTTCAATGTCTATTATTAAAGAAGAATGAAAATTCCTGTGATCTTCTCCCTGATTACCCCTTTGACAATATAGAATCAAATAATAGCATTGGCCAATAGTAAACATGCTTTGCTAAGAAGTGGAAGATACATTCTCTAGCCTCAGTTTTTCCTCTCAATTTGTATTTTTGTAAAAATAATGTTATATCCACAAAGGATATAAACTTTAAAAAAAAACAATTGCACTCATTGACTAGGAAGCTGACATAACTTCTTTTCATTTTCTTCTGGTTTTCTTATAATCTTTGTTTATAATAAGGTGATAAACCATCCCAGTTTGTCTGAGTCTGAGGAATTTCCTGGGATACAGGATTTTCAATGTTAAAACTAAGATAGTCCCAGGCAAACAGGATGGTTTTTTACTCAGTTATAACCACTGCATGTTATTTGCTTTTTACATGTAACAGCATATTATAGATGTTTCCTTATTGATACATAATTTCATTAATTTCAACTTAGGATTTCATGAATCAATATAGATAAATATATCATTCCTCTATAATTGAATATGTAGGAAATTTCCTTTTCTTCCTTTTTACAAATCACTTGGAGAGCACAGAAATCATGAGCAAGATACATGTTTCCTCTTTTATTTAAAATGTAGCTTTACATTTAAAGTCTTGTCAAAGTCTACCAGTAGGAAGTACTAGAACCTGTTGAAACCCTGAAAATGTATTTTTAATTTCACTTTGACAAGAGAATAGTCAAAGATCCAATACACAGAAATAGTTACTTCAGATTCATTTAGCATGAGTTCATTTATGAAATTTGATTTGTTTTAAATTCTCGATGCATAACCTAAAACACTGACAGAGGGGTTCAAATCTGAAATTTTTCTAGGTTAAGTCTTTCAATCCTTCACTGGGTTTCCTTTTATGCAAAGCCTGATTGTGTGTTCGGAGCTAAAAAGGACCAAGTAGTAAATGAATACGATAGAATCATGTGGTGGCAAAATCAAAGCAAAGTTACAATTATCCTCTATTGACCTCAGCCTACTCAGCAGTTCAAACTGCTAAGCACGAATACCTATGTTGTTTCCTCTTAGAATTTACTATCTGGCTGGAGGAAGAGACATTCGTTCACCAGGTACCTGCTATGGGTAAAGCATTCTGTTATGTATGGAGGGGTAAAAAGATAAGAGAAGCTCTCTGACCTCAAAAATCTTAGTGCCTAATTGAGAATGATATAAGTATATGTATTAAGAGATAACCAGTAAAGATCCAAGAAAACTCAATGGGAAAAGAACAATCTTTCCAACAAATTGTGGTGGGACAACTGGATAGTCACATGCAAAAGAATAAAATTGGACACCTACCTCACACCATACACAAAAATTTAAATGGAGGCCTAAAGGTAGGAGCTAAAACTATAAAACTCTTAGGAGAAAACGTAGGTATATATTTTGTTACCTTAGAATAGGCAATGAGTTCTTAAATATGACACCAGAAGCACAAGCAACCAAAGAAAAAATACATAACTTTGTTGTAAAAAAAAAAAAAAAAAAGAACAAAACAAAGAAGGAAAAATAGGAGGGAAGGAAGAGAAAAAGAGGGAAAGAAAGGAAATAAAGGAAAGAAAGAAGGACACAACTTTACTCCATACTGTTTGGGCTTTAAGTTTTAGTATATTTTGGACGCCACAGAAGAAATCTAGAATAGGGGTTACCAAATGGATGCACATTAGAATTAAGTGGGAGTTTTCCAAAGCCATGATGCCTAAGCTGAGTCCAGATGTAATTATTAGAATCTCTGGGCTAGCATCAGGCATCGAGATTTTTTAAAGTTCCCCAGATAATTCCAGTTAAATCAAGTCTAGCCTAAAGCTGCCGCTTTACATATTTTAAGGTTGGTCTACAGGTTTTTCTGTACATTATAAACTGTAACAAGTGGAGGTATAAACAGACCGTAGCCCACACTTCTGCCAATCACTGAGTTTTGATCAATCAAATGTGGTCAACTGTTTGAACCATGTTGAAATAAGGCAAATGCCAATCTGTAACCAATCCAGCTGTTTCCGTACCTTATTTCCATTTTCTGTGCATCACTTTTCTTTTCCTGTCCATAAATCTTCTTCCACCCCGTGACTGTGCTGGAGTCTCCAAGCCTATTCTGGCTCGGGAGGCTGCCTGATCTCATGCATTGTTCATTGCTCAATTAAACTCCTTTAAATTTAATTCAGCTGAAGTTCTTTTATCAGTACAGCTGCCATGAAAACTAGTGATTTAAACAATAGCATGCATCCTAGGTTAGAATGCTAAAATGCCTGCACGAAACTCAATTCTGCTGAAGTCTACTTCTTTTTGTCCCATTCAATGATAGCCTTTTTTTGAATTTGTCTTTCTCAGAGCTTTCCTAATTAAACATTTTCAAAAGAACTTAAGAGTCTTTAAGAGAATCTCTTGCAGTTCTGCATTGGCAAACAAAAGGTCTGCAAAATAGTATATCCTAAATGGATCTTAGCTTATTTTTTGACAAGCACCTAATTTCAAGTTTATTAAAAAGAAGAAAAATTGTGTGTCTTATTTAATGTCTTAATAAAGTTTTCTGTCATCTCGTGATGCATTTTTCCTTTCATCAGCTCTGATTCACTGCAGCTGTTTCCTGCAAAAATGCAAAAGCGTAACTTTAACAAGTTTCATTTCCTATAAAGATAAAAGTACAGAAAGTTGCGGATAAGCATCTGGGCAACTCTCTTACTGCAGAAGCTGATGAAAAATGGTGCCAGGGTTATTTATGCAGTGGGAGTTTTCTGATGCTTTAGCGCTGGGGACTTCTCTTTTCCTTGATCTCACCTGGTTCATGGAGCAATATTGTTCTTGTCATTGATGCTGTACCTCATACGTTTGTTGCTACTGTATTGGCTGTTGTGGTTGTTTCCATCAAAGCTGGACAAGAATTGCTTTGAAGAACATTTTACAACACCCAATTGTCAATGGGTTATTAAAAGTGTTATGAATGAACCTTAGCTCTAAGTGAACAGAAGTGTCTAAACTGCACCATCCTCTTGAGTACTCACTAGTGGAACTAATGCATCTGAATTCTGTACACTTCACAAAGGCGGGAAATCTTGTCTATGTTGTTTACTCCTATATCCACAGCACTTAGTAACAAGCACGTGGAAGGTAGAATTTGTTGAATTTGCTGAATGAATGTAGCCCTTTTATCTATCTGTGCCTATAGGCTTGAGACCACCCACCATTCCAAGGTAACTGCTTGCCTAGATGCCCATGCAAACCATTGCATCTCTGTCTCCTCTCCTTTACAACCAAACATCTCAAAAGCAGTCTGCGTTCAAGTTTGAATGTTTTCATATCGCATTCATTTTTCAGTGAGTTACAGTCTGTCTTTTCTCATACTTTTCTAAAATTGTCTTCCCAAATGCTGCCAATGACTTAATTGTTGAATCCAGTGGATTCTACTCAATTCTAATTCTGTGAGATTTGTTTTCAACCACACTGACCTGTTGCTTCCTTGCCTTTTGAGAAATGTGCCCTTCCTTAGCTTCCAAGATGGCCCACTCTTAAGTCTCTCTCCTACTTTCTTAGACATACACAATTTCATCTTCACTAGTTTCATTTTTTCGGACAATCAAATGTGCACATTCCTTACAAAGTGTCACCTTCCCCCAAAACTCTTATGCATTCCCATAACTCTATCAATTTTAGGTGACTAATTTTTAATCCTGTTTACTCATCTGATTTCCAAGCTTGCATGTCTGGGTATTTGCAAGTTATTTCACAATGATCTCCTATCTGCAATATAAAACTGTAGAGCTGGTCCAGTTTGAGCCTGTGGTCCAATTCCCATGCACCTCCTTTTCAGCTTCCTATCTCTCTCCATTTGCCTCCTCCCCGATCATCCATACTCAAAGCTGAGATATGTGTTTGATTTCTTCCTTTTTCACTCTTTGTATCTAATGAAGTTCCTCATGTACTTTAAGTTTTGTCTACTCTAAAATGTCTCTAAAATCTAATTCTCTTCTTTCTAGCCTTCAATTTAGGTCTAGTTTCTCAATTGCTCCTGCTGTTTCACTTACATTACAAATGACTAATTAGAATCACTATATCCCCACTTAGACACCTTGAATGATTCTCCAGTGCTTACCAATTGAAGTCCAGATGCCACAGATATTGAAGACCCGGCATGGGATTGTTTTAACTTTTCTCTACTGCCTTCTCATTACACCCTAATTTAACCACAGTCTGGCGTGGTTACTCAATTATTGCTCCTGAGCATGAATAAAATGTTTATTTTCATCCTGTTTAGGTATTATTCCCCTACATGAAATATTCTTCTCTTTTTTCTTTCTCACTAATTTCTACCTATTCTCTAAGATTCATCTCAAATGCTTTCTATTCCACAAGATTTTCTTCTAATACTCCACTTTTATTGAGCTTCCACCTGTGCTATATTATTCAACAATTATTTTGTCATATGCACTAGGACATTATACTATTATTTAGTTCTTCTGGGCTGACTTATATCACTGGTTATCTCATAACATTATTTGTATGGAGATTTGTTTCACACACCATAAAATTTACTCTTTTAACTTTTTAAAGAGTGTTTTGAAGAACCCCCCATGCTGTTTTCCACAGTGGCTGTCCCCATTTACATTCCGCAACAGTGAAGAACTGTCTCCTGCTCTCTACATCCTCTCCAGCATTTATTTTCTTTTTTTGATAACAGCTATTTTAGCTGGAGTGAGATTATATCTCATTGTAGTTTTCATTTGCATTTCTCTGATGACTACTGATATTGAATATTTTTTCATATGCCTGTTGCCATTTGTATGTCTTCTTTTGAGAAATGTCATTTTGCCCATTTTTAAATCAGATTTTTTTTTGTATTGAGTTGTTTGAGTTCCTTATACATTCTATTAATTAATCCTCTGTTGGTTGAATGGTTAGCAAATACTGTCTCCCATTGTGTAGGTCTCTTTATTTTTTTTATTAATTATTTTCTTTGCTATCGAAAGCTTTAAATCAGCAATCTGACTGCTGGGTATATATCCAAAAGAAAGGAACTCAGAATATCGAAAAGAGATCTGCTCTCTCATGTTTATTGCAGCACTATTCATAATAACCAAGAGTTAGTATCAACTCAAGTGTCCATGAACAGACGAATGGATAAACAAAATGGAAAACAGAATATATATATATATATATATATGT